GGCCGTTTTTCAGGCTGGTGGTCAACTGAAGCTCCCAGTCTCTTTTTTTTCTTTTCTATTTTTATTATGGGATTTATTTACCTTCTATAGCTGTCACTGGAGCTGAGAGCCCACTCCAGCTCTGAGGCCGTTGCCAGCTGAAAGCATGTACCTGGGGTTTGTTTAGCTTCTATAATTGCAACATTGTTGCATCTGGAGCTCAGAGCTGTGCTGCAGGAAGTGAGGGAACCTTGGCTTCCTCCATCGCTGGGGCAACCAAGCCTCATGTTCGCTTCAGCTGTGTGGCTGCCGGCCGCCATCTTGGTTGGCAGTTAATTTGCATATCACCCTGATTAGTCTATGGGAAGTGTAGCAGAGGTACGGTTAATTACCATGTTTGTCCATTATTAGATAGGATGTCTGTATTTTGTTATTAAATTTTGTTGTAAATTGTGTTTTATACATCCTTTATATCAGTAAATTTATAAATAAAACTATATATAGACATATAGATATATTTGCACTCATACCTTTTTTAAATCCTTGCCTGAGGATATGTTTTTATTGATTTTTAGAGAGGAAGGGGGAGAGAGAGACAGTGAGAGAGAAAAAGAAACATCAATTAGTTGTCTCCCATACACGCCCTAACCAGGGATCGAACTCACAACCTAGGCATGTGCCCTGACTAGGAATCGAACCATTATCCCTGGTTCATAGGTCGACGCTTAAATGTTGAGCCACACTTTCTGAGCTAAATAATTTGTTTTAGAGTGAGAGAGAGAGAGAGAGAGAGAGAAGCATCAACTTTTTGTTCCACTTATTTATGTTTTCATTGGTTGATTCTTGTGTGTGTCCTGACTGGGGATTAAACCTGCCACTTGACATATCCAGACAACACTTTGACTGAGCTACCCTCCCAGGGACCATGATCTGAACTTACATTCTTAAACACTCAGGCTGCCATGTGAACAGTCTACAGGGGAGTGAGCATATGGATGTGAGGAAGCTGGAGACAGTCAGGAGATGAGAGGATGTGACTTGGACCAAGGAGGAAGGAGTGGAGTTGATAAGAAGCAGTTACATTTTAGATTTTGAAATCTACTTCATAGGAAATGCTGATAGATTAGAAGTGGGGTATAAGAGAAAGAGATGAATCAAGGATGACCCCAAGCTTTTTGGCTTGAACAATTGGTAGGTTAAGATACTATTTACTTGAAAGAAATCAGAAAGTGGTTGGGGGAGGGCAGGTTGGGAGCCATGGTAGAACTGTATTGGTTTGAGGCTTGACTGAACTTTCTGGGGTGATGGAAATACGTCTTATTTTGAGTGGTTGCATGGGTGTATACACTGTCAAAACTCAATGAACTGCCCAGCCAATGGTTGAGCATAGACCCATGAACTGGGAAGTCACAGTCCGATTCCCAGTCAGGAGGTCACACGCCTGGGTTGCGGGCTCGATCCCCAATAGGGGGCATGCAGGAGGCAGCTGATCAGTGATGGTCTGTCATCATTGATGTTTCTATCTCTTCCTCTCCCTTCCTCTCCCTTCCTCTCTGAAATCAATAAAAATTCCTTTTTTTAAAAAAAATATATTTTATTTATTTTCCACAGAGAGGAAGGGAGAGAGATAGAGAGTTAGAAACATCGATGAGAGAGAAACATCGACCAGCCGCCTCCTGCACATCCCCTACTGGGGACGTGCCCGCAACCCAGGTACATGCCCTTGACCGGAATTGAACCCAGGACCTTTCAGTCCGCAGGCCAATGCTCTATCCATTGAGCCAAACCGGTTTCGGCAAAAAATTCCTTTTTTAAAAGGGGTATTCTTTAAAGGTTACACATGATGGGAATGGGGTCTATCTGGAAATTGTTGAGTCCAATGCTGTTTTTGGAGGTGATCCATATTTCTCATGAGGTCCTTGCATTTACTTCCCTGTGCCTTTGCAACTTCATCTCTTTCTTAAGCCTTGACAATCAATAAAACAAGCCTTGATTTGTAGCATTTGCTGATTTGTGACAAATACTCCCACCATAGCCTATTTCAACCTACAGGATATATAAGGCTACAGTGTAATCCTGAAGGTAGTAGAATGAAGTAGTGGAGAACCAGACTCCTGTGTGTGCAAGTTTCTTTACCTCTCTGGGCCTTTTTCCTCATCTGTAAAATGAGATGTTAATACTGCTTCCTCCATAGAGTTGTTAGGAAGATTAAATGAATGAATATGTGGAAAGCAGTTAGAGCAGAACCCAACATTATGTATCTTTCACTGTGTGACCTTGGGCCCTTCCTATATTTGGATATTAGTTCCTTTATTTGTAAAGCAAAGAGGTTTTATTATAATCTTCAAAGTCCTTCCCATTATAGAAATCGGAAGGCCATCTGTGATTTCAGTTAGAGAAATCTCAGCCTCCCTCTCCGGTTTTAAGCGCTGTCCCTGAAATCACAGGTATAAGGCATTTGAGTGGTGCAAGAGACAGCCAGGCAGATTCTGTCCAAAGTGGATTCAATCCAGAGTACAAAATTAAAATTAATTGTCAGCCTTGGTCTCAGCTTGGGAAAACTTCTCCGTGGCCAAAAGTTTCCAGCATCTGGGACTATTTCCCTTTAACTGACAGCTCCAGGTGCCTGTCCATTCTGGCTGTCTCGTTTATCCCTGCCAAGCGCCTTTGTTTAAGAAGGCGCTTCTGATTTTCCCCTGCTCTGTAGGTTCTGAAGGAAATACCCTTTATTCTTTTCTCTGTTTTAATGGAGTGAAACAGAAATAAAAATAAGAAAAATACAAAGAGACTAGATTAATAAAAACAGGTTGAGAAACACCAGGAGAAAGATTTTTCCTACATTTTCTAACACAGAACAAACAAACAAATACAGATAAAATAAAAGCTCATTCCTACCACATCTCTGGAGAATTTCTTGGAAAGGACATCCAGCCCAGATGGAGGTATTTCTTGCCTTTTTCCCTACTAACTCTTTTTTTAAAAATATTTTTAAAAATTGATTTTAGAGCCCTAGCTGGTTTGGCTCAGTGGATAGAGCATTGGCCTGTGGACTGAAGGGTCCTGGGTTCGATTCCAGTCAAGGCACATGCCTGGATTGTGGGCTCAATCCCCAGCAGGAGACGTGTAGGAGGCAGCCAATCAGTGATTCTTTCTCATCATTGATGTTTCTATCTCTCCCTCTCCCTTCTTCTCTGAAATCAATAAAAATACAGTTTTTAAAGTTTTTTAAATTGATTTTAAAAAGAGGAAGTGGAAGAGAGAGAAATACATCACTGTGAGAGAGACATCAATCGATTGCCTCCCCTATGCACTCTGACTAGGGATCAAACCTGCAACTTAGGTATGTGTCCTGACCAGGAATTGAACCAGCCACCTTTTGGTGTATAGGATGATGCTCCAACCAATCTAGCCACACTGGCCAGAGCTTTTTTTAAAAAATATGTATTTTATTGATTTTTTTCAGAGAGGAAGGGAGAGGGATAGAGAATTAGAAACATCAATGAGAGAGAAACATCGATCAGCTGCCTTCTGCACACCCCCCACTGGGGATGTGCCCGCAACCAAGGTACATGCCCTTGACCGGAATCAAACCCAGGACCCTTGAGTACACAGGCTGATGCTCTATCCACTGAGACAAACTGGTTAGGGTTTTGTGTTTTTTTTTAAGAGAAAAACATGGAGTTATTGTTCCACTTATTTATACATTCATTGGTTGATTCTTGTATGTGTCCTGGCTGGGGAATGAACCTGCATCCTTGGCATATGGGAATGATGCTCTAACCAACTGAGCTACCTAGCCAGGGCCCTACTAACTCACTCTTAATTCTGGGGAACTCCCCTAAACTCTACATCCAAATGCCCAATGGAATTAATTATATACATTTTTTTCTATTCAGGCCCG